GCGGCAAAAACCCTGGAGCGGGCCCTGCATGGCCCCAGCTGGAGGTGGATGGATTTACAGATTTCAGCAAATAGTTAGAGCTGATTGATTGCTCTTCATTATTCGTTGACATGTTACTAAGACCATTTTCAACTTGTACAATATGGAAGAGACATTGTTTTCAAAAGGGAGAGTTAATGCATCAGCACTTGGCTGTAAATGAACGTACTTAAAGTTGTTCTTTAGCATTCTGTGCTAAAGGACCAGGCTGAGAGGGAGAGTCCTTTTACTCACTTTAGTTCCCACCAAATCTGGTCACATTGTGGCTTGTTTGCTCCTGATTCCTGTAATCTCTTCACATGTGCTATGCCCACAACCCTGAAAATACTTGACATGTTTATTCATGTGAGTATTATCATTGACTTCAATGAGACTAATAGTGAATAAATTTAAAGGACATGTCACGTCAGCCAGAGGAAACCTGCTGTCATCTGGAATTAGCCAATAGAGGTCAAATATGTGATTCCAAGAGAATTATGAGGCCCTCAGAAGTTAGGCCTACCTGTTAGCACTACAAATTCAGCAAAGGATTGGAATAGTTGCAGCAAACAGCAGGTGTGGATTTAAGGAGCAGGGCCAACCACCCAGGATTTATGGGGAGAGTCATGGAAGTTGTTAGGGAGGACTGGAAGAGCCATAGGAGTTGGGTGGCAGGGCAAGCTGGGTTGTTGCATGAATTCAGGGGACAGTAAAGGAAAGAGTTATCTTGGAGAGCTGTGGGGCAGTGGGTGGACCCAGGAAGCTGCATTCCTGGTCATAGACTCATAGACTCATAGACTTTAAGGTCAGAAGGGACCAATATGGTCATCTAGTCTGACCTCCCGCATGATGCAGGCCACAAAAGCTGATCCCCCCACTTTCCCTTAACTCTGCTGTTGAAGTCTCCAGATCGTGATCTAAAGACTTCAAGTTGCAGAGAATCTTCCAGCTTGCGACCCCTGACCTATGCTGCGGAGGAAGGCGAAAAACCTCCAGGGCCACTGCCAATCTACCCTGGAGGAAAATTCCTTCCCGACCCCAAATATGGCGATCAGCAGAACCCCGAGCATACAGGCAAGATTCTCTAGCCAGACCCTCATTTTACCAGCGATGGCTGTTATTGCCTAATTGACTAAAATCATGTTATCCCATCAAACCATTCCCTCCATAAACTTATCTAGCCTAATCTTGAAGCCAGAGAGGTCTTTCGCCCCCACCGTTTCCCTCGGAAGACTGTTCCAAAATTTCACCCCTCTGACGGTTAGAAACCTTCGTCTAATTTCAAGCCTAAATTTCCCCACGGCCAGTTTATATCCATTCGTTCTCGTGTCCACATTAGCACTGAGCTGAAATAATTCTTCTCCCTCCCTGGTATTTATCCCTTTGATATATTTAAAGAGAGCAATCATATCCCCCCTCAGCCTTCTTTTGGTTAGGCTAAACAAACCAAGCTCCTCGAGTCTCCTTTCATAGGAAAGGTTTTCCATTCCTCGGATCATCCTAGTGGCCTTCTCTGTACCCGTTCCAGTTTGAGTTCATCCTTTTTAAACATAGGAGACCAGAACTGCACACAGTACTCCAAGTGAGGTCTCACCAGCGCCTTGTATAACGGAAGCAGCACCTCCCTGTCCCTACTAGAAATACCTCGCCTTATGCATCCCAAGATCGCATTAGCCTTTTTCACAGCCACGTCGCATTGCCGACTCATAGTCATCCTGCGATCAACCAGGACTCCGAGGTCCTTCTCCTCCTCCGTCACTTCCAACCTATGCGTCCCTAGCTTATAACTGAAATTCTTGTTAGTCATCCCTAAATGCATCACCTTACACTTCTCACTATTAAATCTCATCCTATTATTATTACTCCAATTAACAAGGTCATCCAAGTCTCCCTGCAGAATATCCCGATCCTTCTCCGAGTTGGCAATACCTCCCAACTTTGTGTCATCCGCAAACTTTATCAGCCCACTTCTACATTCGGTTCCGAGGTCAGTAATGAATAGATTAAATAAAATCGGACCCAAAACCGAACCTTGAGGAACCCCACTGGTGACCGCCCTCCAATCTGACAGTTCACCTTTCAGTACTACCCGCTGCAGTCTCCCCTTTAACCAGTTCCTTATCCCCCTCTGGATTTTCCTATCGATCCCCATCTTTTCCAATTTAACCAATAATTCCTCATGCGGTACCGTATCAAACGCTTTACTAAAATTGAGGTATATTAGATCCACCGCATTTCCTTTATCTAGAAGGTCTGTTACTTTCTCAAAGAAGGAGATCAGGTTGGTTTGGCACGACCTGCCTTTCGTAAACCCATGTTGTAATTTGTCCCAATTGCCATTCACCTCAAGGTCCTTAACTACTTTCTCCTTCAAAATTTTTTCCAAGACCTTGCATACTACAGAAGTTAAACTAACAGGCCTGTAGTTACCCGGGTCACTTTTTTTCCCCTTCTTGAAAATAGGGACCACATTAGCTATTCTCCAGTCCAACGGTACCACCCCTGAGTTTACAGATTCATTAAAAATTATCGCCAAGGGGCTCGCAATTTCTCGCGCCAGTTCCTTCAATATTCTAGGATGAAGATCATCCGGTCCGCCCGATTTAGTCCCGTTTAGCTGGTCAAGTTTGGCTTCCACCTCTGATACTGTAATGTCAATCCCCGCTCCTTTATTCCCCTCTGTCCTACTCCCTCTATTCCTAAACCCTTCATTAGCCTTATTAAAGACCGATGCAAAAATATTCATTTAGATATTGTGCCATGCCTAGATTATTCTTAATTTCCACTCCATCTACATTCTTCAGCAGTCCCACTTCCTCTTTCTTTGTTTTCTTCCTATTTATATGGCTATAAAACCTCTTAGTATTGGATTTAATTCCCCTCGCGAGGTCCTACTATACACGGCTTTTGGCCTTTCTCACCGCATCCCTACATGCTCTAACCTCAATAAGGTAGGTTTCCTTGCTGATCCCTCCCTTCTTCCATTCTCTGTACGCTTTCTGTTTTTTCTTAATCGCCCCTTTGAGACGCCCGCTCATCCAGCTAGGTCTAAATCTCCTGCCCACTAACCGTTTTCCCTTTGAGTCTATGAGTCTATGAGTCATTGGCCTGCTAAACCCAGGGTTGTGAGCTCAATCCTTGAAGGGGCTATTTAGGGAACTGGGGTAAAAATCTGTCTGGGGATTGGTCCTGCTAACCCTGATATTCTATGGTTCTAACATCAAGTACATTGTAGAATGCAGCACAAACAACAATACCCATATCTTTTAAACTGTTCCCAGACACTGACCATTACTGTGAACTAGCTCTAAATATTCAGTATTGGAATGCAAATGAAACAGGGCCAGAGTGCCAATGTTCAGTATTGCCACAAGTAGCTTTTTAAAGTGAAAGAAATTGCCTTGTGCTAGCAAGGATGTGTTTGGTATTGCTGGTTTATTCCTTCTTATGGTTTATAATTAACAATACCTTAATGCAGAAAAGCACTCCTCCAAAACCCAGCAGCACGTTAGCAAGCACTCTACATTTCTCTCTCTCTCTCAGATATTTGGACCAGATCCTTAGCTGGTGTTAACTGGCCTAACTCCATTAACTTTAAGCAGAGTTATACCAGTTGAAGAGCTGGTGAGTTGAGTCTCAGACTATACTATCAACACTTCATTATCCTAATACATATCCTGTGATTTATATTTAGTTTCTCCTTTAGTGTCCAGTCTTGAATTCATTTTTAAATTCTTATTCAGGCAAAACTTCCACTGTAGAGTGGAGGCTTCACCAGCGTAAGGGTTTCAGGAGGTGGGCTCTTAAATAGTGTACAATGTACCCCTTTCCTAAAAATTCCTAGTAAAAATCATAGATTCTAACCAACTATTTTTATCAATGCAAATTCTGTATTAGAACATAAGAATGGCCATAGTGGGTCAGACCAAGGGTTCATCTAGCCCAGTATCCCGTGTTCCCACAGTGGCCAATGCCAGAAGCTTCAGAGGGAATGAACATAACATGGCAATTATTGAAAGATCCATTCCCTTTCATACAGTCCCAGCCTCTGGCAATCAGAGACATCCAGAGCATGGGATTGCATCTCTGACAATCTTGGCTAATAGCCATTGATGGACCTATCCTCCATGAACTTATCTAATTCTTTTTTGAACCCAGTTATAGTTTTGGTCTTCATAACATTCCCTGGCAACAAGTTCCACACAGCTTGACTGTGTGTTGTGTGAAGTACTTCCTTTTTTGTTTTGTTTTAAACTTGTTGCCGGTTAATTTCATTGTATGACCCCTGGTTCTTGTTTATGTGAAGGGGTAAATAACACTTCCTTATTCACCTTCTCCACACCATTCATAATTTGATAGACCTCTATCATATCCCCCCTTAAACGTCTCTTTTCCAAGCTAAACAATCCTGATCTTTACTCTCTCCTCATACGGAAACTGTTCCATACCCCTAATCATTTTTGTTGCCTCTCTCTGTACCTTTTCCAATTCTAATATATCTTTTTTGAGATGGACCAACCAGAACTGCATGCAGTATTCAAGTGTGGGCGTACCATGGATTTATATAGTGGCATTATGATATTTGCTCTCTTATTATCTATCCCTTTCCTAATGGTTCCGAACATTCTGCTAGCTTTTTTGACTGCCACTGCACACTGAACAGATGTTTCCAGTGACTCCAAGATGTCTTACATTAAACTTTAGTTAAAAACAGTTCAATAGTCTGAATATGCAAAGTCAAACCATAGGATATTAAAGACTATGATAGATTTGTTTGCATATCTGCAAACAAAACTTCCCTCAAATAACCTATGGTGCAGAAACAACAAGTGTAGTATCAATTAAAATGTCTTCAGTTGCCAGATGCAACAAGGTCACTAGTTACATTATTCAGTGAATTACATCTAGCAAAAACAAAGACTCAAAGGAATGTACATGTTTTTGTTTGTTGTTGCTAAAACTGATAGAAGCACACTCTAAAAGTCTGTATTCTGTGCTTTTTTATTTATACATTTGTATCAGTTCTTTTAGCAGAAAATTATAGTTCAATTTGTACAAATCACCCACAGTTTAAACTGCATAATTACACTTTCATGTAACTTTACAAGTTCAACAGGGTAATTAATGATTCTCTGAAGTTTTTTTCAAACACAGTAATATACAATTTATTAATCCTAGTAAGTTTTTGTTTTAACAAATGAACAGTTACATATTTAAATACATTGGGCGTGGCTGATCCATGCAGCACATGGGTCAGGGGTGTGTGTAAAGATGGCTAAAGCTCATCTTGCACAGACCCCTGATCCGTTGCTGTCGCTGTGCATGACAAGTCCTTCTGCATGGGGGAGAACAGTTTAAGTGATGATCTGAATTACACCAGACTGCAATATCCACAAGAAAGCCAAGGACTCGCCTGGTAGGGGTATCCAATACTACGATCCTTGTCCTAAGGTCCCAATCCTTTACTCAGGTATACCAGCAGTGGAAGAGAGCAGTGGAAGTCTCTATGCCACAGGAAGATTACTCTTAAACTTGGTGATCCTGCCTGGGCCAGTTACACTGACTTTAGGCCAGTTTGAGGCCAATTATATTAAGTTTTAATGGCCAGAGAGTGGGATCCATTCAGTTTATAGTGCAAATGTAATCTCCTTTAAAATATTTGTTAACAGTAAAAATCATTTTATCTTAGCGAATAAAGATACCATATATCAATGATGCATGGCACACATTTTACTCAATTACTCATGTAAACATCTTCCCTTGCCCATTGAACTCTCTCATCATCAGATCTGTTCCCCAGATAACATTTCCTCCAATATTATTAAAATTAAGAGAATCATATCCTTGTTAGGAAAATTAGTAAAGTACAGTATAAACTGATTTTTCCTGCATCACTGCAGTTTAAACAGGGCTAAACAGAAAAACACAATTGCAGTGTCTAATCCTAATCCTTCGTAAATTCTCAGAATAGTATTTATTCCACAAATACGTTGTTCTATGCTCATGTCAAAAGACTCTTCCACTAATTCACAAACAGTATTTAAATACAGCCCTTCTTACTCCAGTGCAATCTTTGGAATACATTATCCACTACTGTTGATGTTCAATAGTCATCCTCTTTATACGATGAAGCAGAGTGTCTTTTTCCATGTGGACCTCAGCCAGAGCCATTTTAGCCTTGGCTAGTTCCTGTTTAAGGCATTCGTTTTCTTCAATAAGCTGAAATGATTAAATTGAAAAAGAAAGGTATTAGTATTTCTGTGTACTGGCAACTTTCTCCTGTCAGAGTAACATTTACAAATGCTGGGCGCAGATGCTCACCCTGCTAGCTGAGGTGCAGCTGTGATGGTGTAGGATGCAGTGGAGACATGTTCTGGACCTAGAAGATTCGCTCACATTTGCTGATAGTGCAGCAGGAGGGGGGTTGATGCAACAGTTTGCTGCCAAGGAAAGGTGGCCACTGTGGGCTCCTTGTGTCAGTCCCACCCTTAATCTAGTAGCTGGATCTCTGGTGACGCCATGGGTTAGGCTGATTGCCAGTTTTGGGGTCTAAGAAGGGATTTTTACGATATGGCAAACTGCTGAGTGGGTTCTCACCTGCCACCCAACATCCAAGAGGTCTGGTTTGGGAAGTTTAAATCACAATTTCAACTTTGGCAGGTTCTGATGTGGCTGGATTAGGAAAGGTGTGACTGAGCTGTTTGGGCATGAGTCTTGGGCACACATATTGCATGGTGAAGCTCAATCTCATTTTAACCCTCCTACCTCTGGTGTGAAGGATGACTCTCTGGGCAGGCTTGAGGGTATAGAGGGGGCAATGGCCTTCACACTCCCCCTAAGATTTGTGGTATACCCGGGACATTGGAACCAGTTGAGATCCACACTGGAACAACTCTGCCGGCTATTTTGGGATGGGTAACCCAATTAGACAATAGTTTTAAATAAAGTTGCATCCTCTGCATTTAACCATAGTATGGTGTCTATGCCTTGCTGTTTCTAAGTTCACACAAAAACAAGTTTCTCAAGCAAAATGATATTCTAACAGTCAAAATATATAATCTGTAACAATTAAACAGTTTTGATTGCTTATTACTACAATGCAATTTAATAAAGTTAAAATAAAATTAACTTAGGTTTATCATTACCTCCTCTTTGAGGAAATCAGCTGTAGCCCATCTTGATGTAGAAGGTCTGGGGATTTCTGGAGAAGTCTGTGTGGCTTGAGACACATAATCCTGCGTTTTGTTTCTGGTAACGCCACTCACTTGCTGCACTGTAGCACTCGATTTCTTGTAGTTCAACACATCATTGCTTAGTGATTGATTATCTGTTTCATAGACACACAGCAGGAAGTTTGAAATGTTTAGTTTTTATTGAATCTTGTTAATATTGAATTAAAATGGCCAACAAGTACAATTTTAACATTAAGTATAAGTATACCTACATCTTCTTGTCAATATCACATTAAAATAAAAGGTATATATTTTAGAAGGGAGAAAAAAGGGGGGTGTGTGTGTGTGTGTGTGTGTGTGTGTATACACACACACACACACACACACACACACGGCAGCTTAAAGAAAGAAATAGTAAATATGAACAATGTCAAAAATCATAATGGAAAAATTATTTTAAATGATTAGTTAACTAAACATAAGGAAACTAACTATTCAAAAAGTATATCTAAATAATATTTTAGACTGGGATTGTCACATGCATGTAACTTGCACTCAAGTCAATGGGAGTTTTGTCTGTTACACATTTATTAATAATAATAGTATTACAGTAGTGCCTAAGGGTGTGTCTAGGCTGCAGTTAAACACCCACAGCTGGTCCTTGTCAGCTGACTCGGGTTCCTGGGGCTTGGGCTTCAGGGCTATAAAGTTGTGGTGTTGACATTCAGACTCAGGCTGGAGCCTAGACTGAGATCTTCCTGCCTCATGGTGTCCCAGAACTTGGGCTCCAGCCTGAGTGTCTACATTGCAATTGTACAGCCCCGCAGCCCAAGCCCCATGAACCCAAGTCATCCGTGGGTGTTTAACTGAAGTGTAGACATACCCCAAGAGTTCCAGTCAGGATGGGGCCTGTACTTACATATGAAGACATGATGTGAAAAGCCTTCTGGACCAGGCCTTAACACAAGACAATTTTAAATATTTCCAAGTTTAACATTAAAGAAACTTTCTTCTATTTAATATGATTAAAGATACACTCGTGTGTTTAACGTACTTGCAGGCAGGGCAAAATGAGAGGTGCAGTTTTTTAGTAATCTAAATCTTCATAAACATTTCTCTCTAAATGATATGAATCTGCCATTGTATTAAAAAAAACATACTTCAGGATTCATGACTATGTATACAGATACACACATCTCTTCATTGCTGAAGGTACTTGACCTCCCCATTGGCATCCACTACACCTGAGGCGTCTATACCAAAGGAATAGGGAAACATGAGAGAACTTTATAACTTAAATACATTTTACCGAATGGGGAGAAGAATACAAAATGATTGAAAGAGACCTTAGAATTGTATATTTGCACATACAATAATAAACACTCACAGTTTTCAGTTTTGAAGCATCTAAGATGACTAAGAAGCATAATTCTAATGTACCAGATGATGTATAACAAAAAAAAATATGCACGCTATCCTCACTTTGTGTAGGTGGATTCATTAAGTATCTGTGCAAGGTAAGTGGTGAAGACCCATCTTCTAAATATAAGTCTTTATTGCATGTTGTTATGCAGTATGATTTGTGTGTATATAGTGTATGTCCACACACCCAGACAAACTACGTGTTTGCACACAAATGAGTGTATGCACACAGGTATGTTTTTCATATGTAACAGAGAGGTTAAATCCCAGTTTTAGATACAAATCTCAATGCAATCCTTCCTATGAATCTGCTATGGTACCTCCATAATACACAGAATCACAAGCAGATACTTGTTCTAGACAGAGAATTTTTTTTGTTTTAAACTACATCTGATAAGGTATCTATTGTTCCTGTCCTCTTTGCTTCACACAGATCACTCAGGTCTTCCCTCATGTAGATACCACCGTTAAGTTTATTTAGTGTTTACTCTACCACCTTCCACATTCAAGTAGTCACAGCAGTTATAATTTCATCCAGTTTTACTGCCCTTTCTCCAAAAGGGAGGGGGGAGAAAAGGTGTCTCCTCCTCCCAGAGAACTCCATTTTGTCAGGCCCAGCCTCCCTCTCTCTCTTCTGCTTCTCTCTGTCTCCCACTTTCTTCCTGTGCTCTTTTATCCACTCTCCTTGTTAATGGGCTAATTAGTTTGTGAGCTCCAAACTGATCTGGTAATCAGGGACTCCTCTCCTTAATCAGCCCCCTCCCAGAGGGGTAGCAGGTTAATCAGTGATGAGAGTGCTGGTTCAGCATTCTGTCATACAATGCTTTAACTTATTTCCTTATTATATGTACAGAATCTGGCACAATGGGGCTGTGGATTCTAGGTGCTACTGCAATGCAAATAAATAGTAATAAATAACAGTACTTAGCTGTTCATTATGTAGTTACCTGTAATATATATTTATAAGAAATAGCTGAGATAACAAGTCACCACTTCTCTGCAACATTTAGACAGTTAAATTGTGTTTAGTCATCTCTGAATGAATCTGGAATTGAATACATGTACTATGAAGTGATATGAACCACTATGCATCCATTGGTTTGACTTGCAGGACCAGGGCCACAGTCAAAACACTGCTATTAGGGATTGTTTTCCCTGGCTAGACTGTATTAAGTTTCATTTTTAATGTACAATGTATACTGTGGCTACATCTAAGCTATGAGTAAGGGGTGTGATTCCTCTTATATTCACACTAGCTCTGAGCTAGTACCAGGACATGTACACAAACTAGGAATCACACCCCTAGCTCATAGCGTAGACATAGCCACAGTGCGATTAGCAATTCTGTGGGGTAACTCACTTTTAATTACTAGCTACATGTTCAAAACAATGTTCACGCAAAGTAGAAACATTACATAAATATAGCAGCATGTACTTTCAATTGTTAACATGTTAGATTTTGGGGAGAATGTATCAATACACACCTCTGATGCAAAAAGAGCCATCGTCATTCCTCTCTAACAAAAGTAGGTCAATATGCAGTGTTACAGGGGCTGGTTCAGGAGCTGAGAGATTATCACGTGGGCTGTCATCCTACAGAATAAAAGTAATAAAAATAGGATTTTTAATGTTGTCTCTCTTTATCAATGGTAGGAAATCAAACCAGCTAATTAAAAACTTCAATTAAACATATTTGAATGGACTTAATGAAACCCCCAAACCCCTCTCATTAGAAGTGCATTCAGACAGAATTTTCTAATCAGATATCTACAAAACGTCAGTACCATTAAAATTACTACAGAAACACAAAGAGACAAATTTATGTCTGATGAAAGCCCACTGAAGTCAGCATATATAGTTTGACTAGAATACCTCAATGAGAACAAAGCAAAGCAAGACATTCTTTAGTACAGGAGCCCTCACCAGAAATGGAGTTAACAAACCAGTGCTATATAATCTCTCATCTGATTGTCTCTTGAACTCTTTAAAGACAGTAGGGCTGCACCTACCATACTTTGGGGAAAGATTTTTTTTTTTTTTTTTTTTTTAAGTATTTAAATTGGGATGATAGCTGTCATAGTTCAGCGATACCACTGCAGCCAAAAAACAAAAGAAACCTCACAAACTGCTTGTGGTGGTTTCTCCTCAATTACGGCTCACTGTTCCTGTCAAGCAGAGTAACTTGTCTAATGCCAGCAGAAAGAAAACATATCAACAGCATTATCAGCATCAGTAGATAAATAACAAAAACAAATTGTTAAAGTGTGACGGCTCTTTCAAAGAGCAAAGACTGCAGTATGAAAAAACAACCCTCAAAACTCACTCAGGAAACAGTGTGCCAACTTCAATGCAAAGAAAATATCCCACTAAATGGGCAATCCAGCCATAAAGTGAAGAACTGATTGACTTCATGGTGACTTGGTGAGGGTTGCACATACAGTGAATTCTTCACTGCCCATAACCTCTTATTAATAACAGCTTAATGTACAGTCTTTACCTACAAAATTGACTATTTTGTCAAAAAACTTTGCCTGAGCCTGCCCTCCCTGCCAGGAAAATACAGAAGCCCAGTTTTCAAAATGAGGGGAATATATGTTAAAGCAGTCATTCCTGAATCTGGGCACTCAACTTGGTGCTTAAGTGACAATTTGAGCTGCAAAAGCCTTCACTAAGTGCCCTTTGTGCTGCTCCAGTGGCACAAATGGCACTTAAAAATTGCCTAAGCAAGCAGTTGAAAATTTCCCTAGCACAGACAATCCTCAGATGGTGTAAGGTCACCTACAAGGAGCTGTTGGAACAGGGAGGGAATCAGAACTTTGCCGCACCCTTGAGCTGGCAGAATGGAGACCGCCCTAGCTGGTGCAACTTAAAGCAGCGCTTAAATTTAAGCCTGACTGTGGCACAGTTTAGGCTTGAGCCCCAAATGTAGAATTAGGCACCCCCTATCTTGGGTCCCAAATTTGGGAATTGAGTCCCTTGCAGCTCTCACTGTTTTGAAAATTTCCAAGGCCATTTGTGTCTGAGGGTTTTTTATTTTTGGTTTTGGCAGCAGTGACACTATAACCCTACATCTCTTATATAAAAAAAAAAAAAAAAAAAAAACACCCAACAACAACAAACTTCCTTACACTTATAATAGCCTTTCTGGCTGCCCCTCAGTGAAATCATTGTCTGCTTTAAGTGTTTTAGGGGAAAAACTAGGAGACTGCACTGCAGTGTTCTCTTAATGTTGCTATTTTAAGCCACACTAGTGCAAAAGGCTTGTATTATTTAGTAAATATTTCTAAGTAGGGTAAAACATGAAATCTGGGCTCTAGTTAGTAGGCAAGCTGGATTGAACTTGAGTCCTCATAACATCTTTCCTCCTTCTATGCTAAGCTCTCATTACCACAACTATCCTCGAAGGAGGGCTGATGAGCCTATAGCGTACTTCTCTGTTAATGCTGATTTTGATTGGAAAGCAGGTGTTACTGCAAAGCAACAAAAGGCTCACTCTACCCTTGGGAAATTGGAACACCTTATCTGTTACATTCCCAGCTGCTGCTATTCTGGGGACCGTGACATGGTAAAGGAAAAAAAGACACAAAGTATAAAACATTAATTCCTATAACCAGTTTGGTCATGCACCAAATTTACCTCTAGGCAAGCCATTGAGCTAACCCAGTTCATGGATTTTTAAAATTGCTTTAGTGTTATCTAATCGTAAATATCCAATTAAGACTTTAAAGAATACGATATGAGTTTCTTTGAAGTTAACTATATCCAGATTACTAACTTATCAGCAAAGAAACAAGCACATACAGTCTAAACAGTTAAGAGAAGAAAAATGGCTCTTAGTTAACATACTTTTAAATTAATCCTTGTATTAGAAACTTTAATCTTCATAGGCATTACTGCTGCAACAGTTTCATCTTCTAGAAAATGCTGAATGTTCATGAGGGAAGATGTTAGGAATTCAGCACTAAAATTCTCCACGTGACACTGTAGAAAGCCATTTTTTACAGCCAGCAGAGAGTGTACTACAGCACTTGGCCCATTTTCCCATCTCAAATTAATTTCAGGTGATGACTTAATTGGTCCAGCCACAGATTTATGATCTGAACCTAGTATAAAAGAAAACAAAATTAGGATTAAAATTTTAGAGCACACAAAAGGCACTCCAATAAGCAATCATTATGCAATCATTTCTACCTGCATTGTAGTTTCATAATCACAAGAGGAATAGAAACATAACTAGTTTTCCAACAAATTAACCAATTTAATTTTTTTATTCAGAAAACCCCATACTTGAGATAAATCAGAATTATAATAGTGCATACGCATAATGTATTGTGAGCAATTTTCTATCACCTTTTTTCCCTCATCTCTTAATTTATAATTTAAAGGTAGTACAAGGAGCAATAAACAGTACATACAAGTAGCTTGTAATAGACATAACTGTATATATATATCCTGCATTCTTTCTGCATGCAAAACTTGTGCTGTCTTCAGTGGGAGATCTGTATGCACAGTAAATACAAAACCAAGCCCATCGCAAGCTTTTTTTTGTTTTGTTTTTAATAAATTACTTAAGACTATGATTCAGGAAAGCACTTAAGTCTATCCATGTTCAGGAGAGTATTTAACACATTTAACTAAGTGCTCTCCTGAACAAAATGATTACTTACCTGTATCGTAACTCTTGTTCTTTGAGATGGGCAGTTGTGGAACACACATGCAAACCACATCTTAAAGAACAGTCACAATAAAGATAAGTAACCGTTTTTTCTTCTTCAAGTGGTTGCAGACATGTATTTCACTCAGATGACTCACAAGCAGTACTATTAAGAGGTGGGGCTTGGAGTCTACTTAAATTTGCATCAGATCTTGAAGCAGTCATGATGGCATAACGATGCATGAAAATATGCACAGAAGGACCAAATGGTAGTATTTCTTAGGGCCATCTCCATGCTGGACATTTGCAGGGCTGCTGAAATGGCCCATTCAATGAGGGTTCAGGCTAACAGTCTCTCCAGAAAGGAGTGTTTAATGCCGTCATGGAAGTAATACACGTGGAAACGAACTGTGCTGAAACTGCCTTACCTTTCCTATTGTCAGCAAATGAGACACAAAGCCAAGGAGATAACCTAAAAGGATTGGTTCTGTCCAGATAATAGGCCAGTGGCTCACCTTATGTCCAAAGTATGAAGTCGCTCTTCATCACTACTTGAGTGCAGCTTCAGGGGGAAAAAAAACAGGTAAGTATAGTTTGCTGAGATGGAACACTGGAACTACTTTGGTTAAAAATGTAGACTGAGGCCTCAAGGCTCTTTATCTTGGAAAACAACACACATGGAGGTCCTGCCATTAGAGCCTGAAGCTCCCACACTTGAGGGAAAAATTGATGGCACTCCTTATTGTCTTTCATTGTGAATAGGTCAACTGATGAATACCCCAAGCTTTGAAGATGGTCCTCAGCCCTCTGTTCTTGAGGGATCATTTGTGATTCCAGGAGAATGTCCTGCTGAGATGGTCACCCAACTGATTCTGGGAGTCAGGTAAGTGAGCAGCAATGGGAGCAATGTCCTCCCTGATGCAAAAGTGCCAGAATTTCATCGCTTCTTGACAAAGCTGTTCAGATCATGCCCCTCCCTGTCTGTGCAGACAGTACATTGCAGTTGTATTGTCGGTGAGCCCTTGATGTGAGGGAGAAAAGCACAGCAAGCACTATGAATGCTCGAAGATATTGAAATGAAGAGCTGCTACTTGCTCTATCCATAAAACTTGGGTTCTACACCCACCTCTGAAAGCACCTAACCCTATCAGAGAGGCATTAGTAATGACTGTCTTGATCAGGTGGCAGCAAGCAAATACCACACCTCTGCATATGTTTTTCTTATCCATCCACCATTATTGGGAACCCAGGAGGAACCTGGATCAACTTGTACAACCGGTGTCTGTTCAGTCAATGGACTAACTTCAGCCACCCCTGAAGGATGCATACGCATAGCCTGGCATGCAGGGTCACTTAAGTATATGAGGCCATGTGGCCTAATAACGCTAGACATTCTTGGACTGTGGTGGTGGGGTATAACTTGAGAGAGGCGCATAACTGGTAAATAGTCTTCTTCGGTCTTCACCGAGAAGTCTGAAGGAATGCCTAACATAGTGAATGCTAATGGGAAGGGGGTAGGTTTAGCAGATAAAATACAAAAAGAACAAGTTAAAAATCACTTAGAAAAGTTAGATGCCTGCAAGTCACCAGGGCCTGATGAAATGCATCGTAGAATAGTCAAGGAGCTAATAGAGGAGGTATCTGAGCCTCTAGCTATTATCTTTGGAAAATCATGGGAGATGGGAGAGATCCAGAAGACTGGAAAAGAGCAAATATAGTGCCCATCTATAAAAAGGGAAATAAAAACAACCCAGGAAACTACAGACCAGTTAGTTTAACTTCTGTGCCAGGGAAGATAATGTAGCAAGTAATTAAGGAAATCATCTGCAAACACTTGGAAGGTGGTAAGGTGATAGGGAACAGCCAGCATGGATTTGTAAAGAGCAAATCATGTCAAACCAATCTGATAGCTTTCTTCGATAGGATAACGAGTCTTGTGGATAAGGGAGAAGCTGTGGATGTGGTATACCTAGACTTTAGTAAGGCATTTGATACGGTCTCGCATGATATTCTTATCGATAAACTAGGCAAATACAATTTAGATGGGGCTACTATAAGGTGGGTGCATAACTGGCTGGATAACCGTACTCCGAGAGTTGTTATTAACGGTTCCCAATCCTGCTGGAAAGGCATAACGAGTGGGGTTCTGCAGGGGTCTGTTTTGGGACTGGCTCTGTTCAATATCTTCATTAACGACTTAGATATTGGCATAGAAAGTACACTTATTAAGTTTGCGGATGATACCAAACTGGGAGGGATTGCAACTGCTTTGGAGGACAGGGTGATAATTCAAAATGATCTGGACAAATTGGAGAAATGGTCTGAGTTAAACAGGATGAAGTTTAACAAAGACAAATGCAAAGTGCTCCACTTAGGAAGAAAAAATCAGTTTCACACATACAGAATGGGAAGAGACTGTCTAGGAAGGAGTACGGCAGAAAGGGATCTAGGGGTTATAGTGGACCACAAGCTAAATATGAGTCAACAGTGTGATGCTGTTGCAAAAAAAGCAAACATGATTCTGGGATGTATTAACAGGTGTGTTGTGAGCAAGACACGAGAAGTCATTCTTCCGCTCTACTCTGCTCTGGTTAGGCCTCAGCTGGAGTATTGTGTCCAGTTCTGGGCACCGTATTTCAAGAAAGATGTGGAGAAATTGGAAAGGGTCCAGAGAAGAGCAACAAGAATGATTAAAGGTCTTGAGAACATGACCTATGAAGGAAGGCTGAAAGAATTGGGTTTGTTTAGTTTGGAAAAGAGAAGACTGAGAGGGGACATGATAGCAGTTTTCAGGTATCTAAAAGGGTGTCATAAGGAGGAGGGAGAAAACTTGTTCAGCTTAGCCTCTAAGGATAGAACAAGAAGCAATGGGCTTAAACTGCAGCAAGGGAGGTCTAGGTTGGACATTAGGAAAAAGTTCCTAACTGTCAGGGTGGTTAAACACTGGAATAAATTGCCTAGGGAGGTTGTGGAATCTCCATCTCTGGAGATATTTAAGAGTAGATTAGATAAATGTCTATCAGGGATGGTCTAGACAGTATTTGGTCCTGCCATGCGGGCAGGGGACTGGACTCGATGACCTCTCGAGGTCCCTTCCAGTCCT